AGAGAGAGAGGAGAGAGAGAGAGAGAGAGAGAGAGAGAGAGAGAGAGAGAGAGAGAGAGAGAGAGAGAGAGAGAGAGAGAGAGAGAGAGAGAAGAGAAGAGAGAGAGGCGCGTCGGCTGTGACCATCCGAGCGGGCTCTCGCTCAAGAGAGAAGTTGCGCCTTGGCCATGCAGACGGAGCCGCTGACCGGCAGCACGTGGTCGATTTGCGTCGTGTGCATCTCGCAGATGGACTTGTCGCGGCTGAACTCGTAGGCGACGCACCTTTCCGTCTGTGAAAGGAGAGGAGGCCGCGTGGGAGGCGAGGCAGAGACGGGGCGGCCCGGGCGGAGAGCTCCAGAGATCTGCTCTGTGTGCGCTGTGAGCGTGAGCGTGTGCGTCTCTCGGCGCACGTGGAAGCAGTTGCTGCGGCATGAGGCCTCGGTGTGCCTTTTGGTGCCTCTGAAGATGTGCTTTGTCCCCGTCGTGCCGTCCTTTGTACGGCAGACCCCGTTTCTGCCACCCTTCACCGCGACGAAGTGTCTCTCGGTCCCATCTGGTGGCCAGGCCGGTGGCGGAGATGGTGGAACTGGCGGCAGCGGGGGCTCCCCCGGCGGGGCTGGCGGGGGCGGCGGAAGCGGCGGAATCGGCGGCGGCGGGTTGGGTGTAGACGCGTGTTGGGTGCGCAGCGTGTAGCGGATCTGCGCAAACGCCGCCAGCACGAGGACTGAGTTCATGGTTAAGAGACGTGATAGCCGATCGGCGTTCAGTGAAGAGGCGCTGTCAAGCAAACCGGGCTGTTCACAGCCTTGTTATTGAGAAGAAAATACGTCCTATGGCGCTTTGCGCTGGTCTGTGAGAGGTTGAGGTGCGAGCCCTGGAGGCCCTGGGAATGGGGGGAGACTACCCGCGGGCCTAGAAGGCCCGCGCGCAGGGGGGTGGGGCATTGAGACCGGTCATGAATGAGTTCGCAGAAAACACGAATCAGTTGCTCGATGGTGAGGGGTATGTCTGTGAGCCATGGGCGCCAAAAGTCGCCGCGATTTTTCAGGGGCACACACAGCGTCATGGGTACGGAAAGAAATCTCTCTCCGGGTACGCTGATATACGTGTCGTATTGGTTGTCAGACAGTTTGTAGACAAAGAATCTAAGTAAGTAGCCCTAATGGTTGGGCTGGCGCGTCAGCAGCCGGGCGCGGCGCCGGCCGGCTCTGCTGGAGCGGAGGGCCGGGGCCAGCACCCAGCAGGGCTGGCCCTAGCCGCCGTGCTGGCCGGAGAAAGTCCTGGATTGCTTGGAGCGCGGATATCGTTGGGGATCCCCCCGCAGGTGCCGCTTGCCACTTGGTTAGAGGCTGCTGGTCGATACTGGACAACTCAGATTTTGGAAGATCGGAGCAACGAGAGGTATTGGTCTGCAGGCAGTACGGATGCGGCCACTAGCTCCGGGGCCAGCCGCTTGTAAAGTACGGTAGGTGCGTTCATTAGGTCGGCACCTACAAATCCACATATGTTACCAACGTGCACCCCAGCAGCAGCAAACTGTATATGAAGGCACGGGGCGATCTCGGGGTTTCCCTCGCCTCCGCCCTCTGGGCCGTCTCGTCTCCCGTCACCCCGCCGCCCCGCCGCCGCCGCAGATGAGGACGTGGCGGTTGGTGATGCGCCGGTCGATCGCGGTGACGAGGGCGGCGGCGTACCGCTCGGCGAGCGCCCCGCAGAGCAGCGCGTGGCGGGTCTCGTCGGGGCAGTGCTGTAGCGTGCATCCGGCGGGCGCGCACGCGTCGGTGCGCATGCAGCAAGGCATGACCGCCCACAGCGCGCCCGCGCTCCTTGCCAACTCGATCGCCGCCGGGTTGGCCTCGGTGCACGCGTGAAGTGCTACCACCAGCGCCGAGCCCGCGCCCGCCGCCGCCGCGCCGCGCAGCCGCGCCGCCATCTCGTCGCCGTCGATCCGCCCCTCCACGAAGCTCAAGTTGCTCAACGGCGGCGGCTGGCACGGCGGCGGTGCCGACGCGGACAGGGTGTCTCGCTTCCCACACGAGCCCGCGCCCTCGTCCGCGCCCGCGCCCACGCCCGCGCCCGCGCCACCGCCCGCGCCACCGCCCGCGCCACCGCCCGCGCCACCGCCCGCGCCACCGCCCGCGCCCGCGCCCGCGCCGCCGCCCGCGGCCTCACCCGCAGGCGCGGCGGCGGCGGCGGGCGGCGGCGGCGCGGCGGCACGGAAGGCGGCGACCATCGCATCGTAGGACTGCCGCCTCGCCACGTCACAGCAGACGACGGCGGTGCGGGGGAAGCGATGGGCGAGCAAGATGCCCACAAGCCCGTGTCCACACGCCACGTCCGCGATGAGCCTGAGGGGCGCGCCGCCTCGCCGCGCGCGCGCCGCGAGCCACCCTTCGATGGCGGCGTAGGCCGCGAGGCTCTCGAAGAGTTCCTTGACCCGCACCTGCCCCCACAGCAAGGCGGCCGTGGGCGCGGCCGTGGGTGCGGCCGTGGGCGGCCGTGGGTGCGGCGGAGGGCGGCTGCGGGCGCGAGGGGGTGCGAAGTGGCGGCAGAGTGGCGGCAGCGATTGAGGGACATGGAGTGGCAGGGAGAGAGGACCGCAGAGGGAGGGCGGGCGGGGGCGGGCGGCCGAGACGGAAGAGGCAGTTCGACAGGAGGCGTGAAGGGGCAGGTGCGAAGGGGCCGAGACGGCTGTGAAGGGAGGTGTGAAGATGCAGCTCGACGGGCACCGCGGAGGGGGTCGCCCTGGAGCACGCCTCGATCGCCGCACACGCCGCCTCGCCGCGTCCGCCTCCGCCGAGGACGTTGCGCGCGAAGGCCCAGAGGCGGCGGCGCAGCGGCGGTGCGAGGTCCTCGGCCAGCACGTTCTGCTGCAGCGACGTCTCGCGCATCGGGAAGCTGGAGAGCTCCGCAGCGCTCCACGCGCTGCTTGCCGCCGCCGCAGCTGAGGGCGGCGGCGCAACGGGGCGGCCGGCAATCGCGGCGGCGTTGGGCTCACGGCCGAACTTGCGCGCGCGGTCCTTCCCGAAGAGGTGCTGCGGGCCCTCGGCGCGCACGGTCGGGCAGTTGACGCGCCAGTGCCCCGTGCCGCCGCACACGTTGCAAGCGTAGCCTGCGGGCGGCACGGCGCCGGCGGGGCGGCTGACGGCGTCCTGCTCGAGGCTCACCCGCTGCGCCTTGGCTGGCCGGGCCACCGCCTCGTCAGCTCCTCCGGAGCGAACCGGCTCGTCCTCCGCGGCTCGCTGCACCTCGGCAGCGGCGCCGCTGATGTCGCTGAGCAGCCCGTGCGCAGCAGCTGCCTGCGGCTCCGGCGGCGCAGAAGCTTGCCAGCCTCGAGCGGCGGCGCTGTCGGCGGTGCGCACCGCAGGCTCGGCGGTGCACGTCACGCTCGCAATTTCTGCTCCCGACGCGAGCAGCCCTTCGACGCTGCTGCCGTCTGAGCAAGCCACACGGCACAGCGGCAGCGCCTTCGGAGGCTTGCCGCGGGCGGTGCGGGTGAAGCGAGTCACGCTCCGAACGGAGAGTCCCTGCGCTTGGAGCGCCGCCGCAACCTCGTCCTCCGTCAGGGCGGTGGGCACGTTGCGCAGCACGACGTCCGATGGAGCTCCAGTGGCGTCCATTTCCAGCTTCCGAGCTTGCCGGTAAAATTCTCTGAGTCGTGCGTCCCTTTTTGAGTCGGAAAGCTATTTTCTTTGAGAGCGCCTTCGTTGTTAATAGTACAAACCCAATGGTCTCTTGCGAGCGGTCCGTCGTTGCAGTCGCACACACTCACACGCCACGCCGCACCGCGCGCCCACCCGCTGCCCCGCCCAGCCAGGCGGGAAAGAGATGAGGAGATGGGACAGCGAAGGAGGAGCCCAAACACGTATGGGAGGGTTCAGTAATGCGTCACGCTGCCCGGCGTCTCTCACTTTCCGGGACAGCCCCGCCCTTTCGAGGCGGGAAAGTGACGGCTACCCCGTACGCCCTGTTGCTTCTACCCCGACGCCGACCGCCCATTCCCCCCTCCTCGTTCCCCCCTCGAATTCTCCGGACCCCGACAAGCCGCTCGACGTTGTGGGCCTCTGCCCTGCACGCCCCCGCCCCTTCTGCCCCTCGCACACACCCAGGCCCGACATGCACATACAAGACAAACCCGGCGTCCTGCTCTCAAAAGAAAAGAAAAATGTGAAGGATGAGACCAGCGGGGGAGACTCCCCGCCTATGCAACACCCCAGAGAGGGGCTGCCATCGCCGAAGCTGTGCCTAAGCATAACTCCCAAACCCGCATTTTCTTTTGGGTCCTGTGGGCACCCTAGCAAGGGACGCGGACAGGCGCAACAGGGGGTCGCATGGCACTCTGAGAGGACTAGTACCGTACGATGGTGAGGACGCCGCACAGAAAGACCACACGCCTGAAGTCACGTACCGACAGGCAAGGGCGGGCGTACCGAGGACAGTGCGAGTGGGGGGGCTTTGGTCGATCGGACGCTGTTAATGGAGCCGTTATTCTACAACCCACACCTGTCGGGCTGGTGGGGCGCAGCGGTACTCGACAACCCGGACTGGGAGCGACTGGCCAGAGACAAGAAACCGAACCCAAACTCTGCCGGTGGACCAATGAAAGAGAGGAAGACGCACGAGAGGTCTACGAGCGATCGGTGCGATTCGCATAGGTCGGGGTAACACACGTAGTGCACCTCCTTGGCGGGGACGGCCTGCCAATGGCCTGGCGCGAGTTTAGGAGAAGCTGCCACCCAAACCCGCCCCGCGACCAACACGAATACAACCGACTCATCGAAAGCCTGCCAGAGGCGTGGCTAGTCACCCTCCGAGACGCCGTTCTCAATCGCCCTCGCCCAATAGATTGGCAGGAATGCGTACGGACGAGCGACCTGCCTGGGAATGCATGGACATGCATGAATGATAAGAAACGGGCAGGGCAGGCGATGGGTCGCACCCACACAAGGTGAGGCACCGGTCTTCGAATGGATGGAAACCGGAGAGCTCAGGGCAACAACGCAAGATGAGACCGGAACGCCGAGCCTCGCAACGGTGAGGGAAAGAGGCGCGGGCGGATGGTGCGAAGTGAAGGTATGGACACACGCCCATGCCGGCACCCCAGGGTTCGGACTTTTTGCGGGGTATGGTATGGTACCATCGCGCAACCCACCTCGAGACCATCGCCCCCGCCTGCTGACAGACCCAGCCTCCCGGCTGCCGGCCTCGGGCGGTCAGGACCATACCCCCCCACCCTTAGGGCCGCGGCATTCACTCGAATTCACACTGCGCATCTCGCGCACGTCCCTGTCGGTCAGCTGCCCACCGGTCGCGGCACCTCAGCCCTACGAGCTTGGAGCCTCACTCCATCACACCGACAGGCCACGGCCGTTTGAATCCAGTTTCGCGCCAACTGTTGGCGCGAATGCCACGTCGTGTCACCAAGCGTGCCCGCGAGCCAGGCTTCGCCTCGCCAGAGGCAGCCACACACGCCAGCCCTGAGACTGAGGCAGGCTGGCAGAGCGCCGGCCGTGACCGGCAGCGAAACCTTACGGGTATACATACATATATGTGCACTGCCGGCGACGTCCTCGCCAGCCTCGAGCGCTGCGATGGGTCTGCCGCCCCGGCTAGCTGTGCCGCCTGGACCGATCAACGGGTCTGGCCCTCGGGCGCCGGCCTGCCCCTCAAGCCCGCAGACTGTGCCGCTCGGCTGATGCAAGACTGGCTCTGCGCCCTGCCTACTGTCCCGGTGGGCCCCCTGCCACCGGTTCTGCGCGGATATGACAGCCTGCAGTTCGGCGACTTTGGCGATACGCCGCCCACGATCTCCAAATTCCTCGCGCGTTGGGCTCTGATGCTGTACGTCTCCTCCACAGCCGAGGTCCCCTACCGCTATGTGCTGCCGACGTCGCGCGCTAGCTCGTGGGCTTGGCTCCCAGGCGGCCCGCACGCCGCCCGCCAGCGGGAGGCTGACTGGCTCGTTGCCGACGTCTGCGCCCGGCACGTGCCCAGCACTGAGGCTGGCGCGGCGGGCCTGGCGGAGGCGATCATGGCGCGGGCGCGCGGTGAGCCACCGGCTGGCCGCAGCCGCCGGGTCGCGGCTTCGGGCCGGGAGCCCTACCGCCGCCGGCTTCTTCGCGGGGGCGCGACGTGGGCGGGGCTCTGGTGGGCGGGGCTGCTGCAGGGGCGGGTGCTGACCGCGATGGGGCCGCGCGCGGCCGCGCTGCGAGAGGCGGCGCTCGCACGCATCGACGAGGTTGGCGGCGCGGCGGTCAGCAGCCGGCTGTTGCGGCCCCGCGACTGCTCGATACGCGTCGGCCTCCACGTTCGACGCGGCGATGCCTGCCAGCGGTGGGCGGCTCCGGCGGACGGCGCCGTCGATCCCGAGGGCGACTGCGGCACCGCTGTCGGCAGGCCGTGCTACGCCACCTCGCACTACCTGCACGCGGTGCGGAGCCTAGCACGAGCGCACCAGGCGCGCAGCCGCTCCCACGCCGGCGGCGCTGCCTCGGCCAACGGCGAGGGTTGCGTCACGACCATCCTCCTCGCATCGGACTCCCCCTCGGTGGCGCTCGAGCTGGCGGCGGCAGCGGCGGCTTCTCGCGACTTGCGGCTGCTGTGGGTCAACATCCGCCGGGGCGCTGACTGGGGCGGCACCGCAGAGCTGTCGAATCTCGGGCTGGGTGCGGCCGCCGCCGAGGCAAACTTCATCGAGCGGCGGAACTCGCGCGGCCTCCTCAACCGCAGCGCCGTCCTGGGCGCCGCCCTGGCCGACATCTCCCTCCTCGCCACCGCGCACGCCTTTGTGGGCACCGCCGCCTCGTGGCTCTCGCGCCTCGCCCTTCTCTGCGTCATCGGCCAGTCCGGGTCAGTGCCGCCGTTTGCGCTGGTCGACCGGCCGATGGCCGAGCTGTGGCACACCACAAAAGGCGGCGCACTCTGCCCACCGCATGGCGCCGCTCGTGCGCGCAGCGGGCCGCGGCAATGAGAGAGCGCGGGGTCGGGGGTCGGGTGTAGGTCGCGTAAGGTCGCGGGGGACGGTGACACACTGTAATGCATCTGGACCCTCTGGACCCACTGACGATGCCGTACGAGGACGACGGTCTGGAGTTATAGCTCCTTCCTCGGAGAGCTTTCCCCCAGAGATGATCCCCATGGGGTTATTTAAAAGCGTGTACAAGCCTGTTTTCTTACTAATTTCATTCCGACTTTTTCCGCCGCAACATAAACGAACCCACACGCACACACGGAGTACCATGCCCCAAAGGCGGTAGCCGCTGTGCCTGGCGACACGTGTCGAGGGGTAGGGGGGCTGGGGGTAGCCCCCTGATCGGCACCGCACCCCTACCCTCCCCCCCAAACAGCTCGAACCCTGCTCGGTGTGAACACAGTTCGTACACCGAGCAGCAGCAGGGAGCGGAGCTAGTCCGAGGTAGGGGGCCCACAGCGCCCCAAAATCCACCACTGTGGGATTTCGCGCAAAAGCTTGACTCTGAAAAGCTCGCATATCCCTGCGTTGAGCGCTGTGGTCGCTGTAGACTGGCTTCTCACGCGCCGGGCAGCGGGGAGGGAAGTGGGAGCCCGAGCCGCTCGGCGGTCTGCCGCGCCTCCTCCAGCGAGATCCACTCCACCGCCTTCCCGTCCCGCAGCTGCGCCGCCCGCTGCCCGTCCGCCATCCACTTGACGCCCTCGCCGACGGGGCCGCCCTGCTTGCAGAAGCCCGACACCACGTCGCCGTCGGTGTACCGGAAGACGCCGCGCCCCTCTATCTTACCCGCCTTGAACTCGCCCTCGTAGACGTTGCCGTTGGCGAACCGGTAGACGCCGCGCCCCTCGCGCTCTCCCGCCGCGTTGTACTCGCCCTCGTACTCCCCCTTCTGCACCTCGCCCGAGCGAACCATCGCGTTGTTCACCTTGATAGCGTAGTCACGGTACAGCTGGACGACCACCGGCTTGTCGCCCTTGAAGGAGGCCGCCTCGATCGCGGCGATCACGCGCTCGTTACGCGGCCCCATCCCCTCGTCGGCGCGGTCCTCCATCTCCGCCACACGGGGCCCCTCGCCGTCGATCTCGATGACCTTGGGCGGAAGCTCTTCCAGCAGCTTGCCCAGCCCTGGGTAGTATGCGAGTTGCGCGAGCGCCTCGGTGCTCACCGCGCTCTCAAACGTCGTCCACCTGCCAGCGGAGGGGGGGGGGGTAGCGGAAGAGGAGAGCTGTGGTGGTGTGTGCTGGCGGGGCACCTCTGAGAGCGGGGTTGGGGACTCTCGCACGCCGCATCGCGGCGGCGGCGGTGGAAGGGAAGGGAAAAGCGAGGAGGGGGGGTGGGGGGAATGGAGGGGTCCGAACCCGCGAGCGTGGTAAGGGCGGCCGTTGTAGAAGAGGAAGACGGCGATCGCGCCCGGCAGCGCACCCGCTGCAGCTGCTGCCGCCACCGCCTCCTCCGCCGCCGCGTGCGTTGGGAAGCGCACGCGCCGCCGGCCCTCCTCGTAGCGCGGGTTCTCAAACGCCCCGAGAGCACGGCGCAGCTTAGCCTCGGCGCCGGCTGGAGTGCGGCGTTCGTCAAGAAGGCGGTTGACCTGGGAGATGATGTCCTCGCGAGTGCCGTCCCACCGGTCGAGCTCGAGCTCCTCCACCATCTCGTCCGCGACCACCTCGGCCGTGTCGTTGACGGGATCCATTACGAAGGTGACCGTCTTTGCCTCGCCATTGAGCTGCACGACGATCGTCAGCTCCGCCTCGGCGCCGGCGCCATCGAGCCCGCCGCCCTTCTCGACGAGGATGACCACTTCGCCGTCCAGCTCCGCCGGGCGGGCTGGCACGGAGCGGTGGCGGATGACGATCGTGCCGAGGGCAGAGGCATAGACGTCGCCCATGACCTGCGGAGGGGTGAGAAGATGGGAGGTGTTAGGAGAAGCAAGGGCATGTGTGCGGGCGAGAGAGTGGGGAGTAGAGGAGCGGCGGGCGGTGAGGGCGGCGGAGGGAAGGCGGCGCGGACATCGAGAGCTTGATAGAAGAGCTTGTCCTCGGTCGCCGTCCTTGGCTTTTGCGGGAGCGAGGAGAAGCTGCGGAGGGGAGGTGAAAAGGGCGAGGCGGGAGAGGGCGGTGAGCGAGCGAGGAGCGGGTGCTGGTGTATGGAGAGAGGCAAAAGAGAGCGGAGAGGTGCGTGCCATGGGCTTTTCAGGGCCCGCCCCCTCCCACGCAGCGCAGCCGCTGGGTCCGGGATGGGTCTGGGGCGGCGGGCGCACTCCCAGAAGAGGGCGGTCACGTGCTCGCCGAGCGGGTGGCGCAGGAAGCGCCGCACGTTGGCCAGATACTCTCCGGTCACGTCGGGGTGGTCCGGCGAGGCCCAGCCGTAAGTCAGCCCGGCGACTTCGCGGCTCAGCGAGCGCAGCGCCGCAACGGCCTCCTCCGGCGAGAGGAAGATGCGGATGCCTATCTCCGTCTCCATCCACTCCAGCTCTTGCCGGCGGAGGAGCTCGGGCAGCATCGCCTCGGAGCCGTCGGCGCGTAGGAACTCGGCGCGAAGCAGCTTGATAGCGCCCGAGCGGAGGGCGGCGACGAGATGCTTGTCGAGGGCCGCCAGCAGCGGGATGCCCTTGTGGTCGGCGGCGGTGAGCGCGCTTGGCTGCCCGTTGATGTGCTCACGTACGTGCTCACACCTGAAGCTGCCGTGCGCTTTGCAGAGGTCACCGGCATGGCCAATGTCTGGCCATTCGATCCGGCCGAGGTGAGGCATGGAGCGCGATCTGTGTAGTGGCATCCAGAGGACGGACCCCGCGGTCCTCCTGTTGGTCCTGCCGGAGAATTTTACCAGCTGCCGGAGAAAACAGCGCGCCCGCCCTCTGAGTTGCCGGGAACGGCAACTGGGGTCCGTTCTGACTAGTACATGTAACACGTTCTGGCCCTCGCCATTCTGATCATTCCTGGAAGATGTTCCTGGAACACCCTCGGACCGACCCAGGTGGCCGGCCGAGTAAAACCCGGGTATACCCGAGAATTCTCAGGTATACCCGAAAAATACCCGGAGCGGCGCGCGTCGCTATGGCGCCCTATCCCACAGGCACGTGCGCCAACTGCACCAACCACGGTGTGCTCAAGTATGCGCGCCGCACCAGGTGTACCCGCTATATCGAGCGTGACCGCGTCAACTTCGTCGCCAAGTTCGACGTTGACAACGGCGCGGCGACGATAGCAGCGCAGAAGCGCTCGCAGAGCGGCGCGCAGCGCCGCGCACGCCACGCCCGGTCGGTCGGACGAGCGCAGCGTACGTCGGCGGCGAGCCGCGTCGCCAGCCGTCTCGCGAGAGAGCGGCGCCGCCGCGTGCGCGCAGCAGCCGCCGCGGCAGAGACGAGCCGCGCGACGGCCGCACAACCGATAACTGCCATTGGCGGTTTTCACACACACACACACACACACACTGTGTGTGTATGTGTGTGTGTGTGTGTGTGTGTGTGTGTGTGTGTGTGTGTGTGTGTGTCTGTGTGCCTGTGTGTGTGTGTGTCTGTGTGTGTGTATGTCTGTCTGTCTGTCTGTCTGTGTGTGTGTCTGTGTCTGTGTCTGTGTCTGGTCTGTGTCCGTGTCCGTGTCCGTGTCCGTGTCCGTGTCCGTGTCGTGAGTGTGAGTATTCTTGATACGAAACCACGACGACACACACACACACACACACACACACACACACACACACACACACACACACACACACACACACAGGTAGGTAGGTAGAAAGGTGAAGAACAGCCAGGCTCGGACTGGACACCAACGCGGTATGGGTGGACGCTGGACAGATGATGACGACACGCACGAGCGACACACAGACACAAACAGGCTCACAAGACACACAGCCAGCTGGCTGCCACACACCCTGAGTCGGCGTACACATAACTCAGGGCCACACACACACACACTGTCCGTGTCCGGTGCCACCGGGCGGCCCGCTTCGGTTACTCAAAACGGTCTGGCTGCTCTTCCCGCGCGAAAAATGTCCGGGGGTGAGGCGGACGTCGCGGCACAGCTGAATGCGCTGCTCCTCGAGGACGATGAGGAGGAGGAAGAAGAGGACGAGGAGGGAGAAGAGGAGGACGAGTCGGAAGAAGAGGGCGCGCCAGACGTGCGCCCCGGCTTCCTCGCAGAGCTCCCACCGCCACGTCGGCCGCTGCCACGGGCCGTGCGGCGGTGCGAGCGCATCACCTACACCAAGCCAGGCGCGGGCTTCATGGACCCCGACCTCTTTCCCAACTCCTGGGGCGCAGTCTCGCGCGACCTGTCCAGAAGCAATGACCAGAGGATGGGAGAGGAGCGGCTGCGGCGCTTCTTCGCTGACTTGCCGCGTGCGTCGTGGGCGCGGGACGGCGCCGACGTGGCGGTCATGGCCCTCTCCTCGCTCTGGCAAACGGCGCAGCGTTTGGCGCGGCCCGCATGCCAGACGTTCCTCGAGTGCGGTGCCGGTGCGCGCTTACTGCCACCGACGCCACTGACGCCACCCTGCGCGCCCCAGCTCCACGCCTGACGCTGCTCGCTGTGCGCGCGGCCTAGGTGCGGCCCTATGTGCCCTGCTGCGGCTCCAGACAGATCACTCGTGGCTTTGGAACGACCAGAACTACTTCGTCCCTTACTACAGCGCGTCGGTGCTCGGCTCCCTGGTGCGGCCCGGCCTGCCGCGCAGCGTGACGCAGTCGCTCCTTGACGACGGCGTTGTCGACGTTCTCGTGCCGATGGTCCGCGGGTCGCTCACGTGGATGGAGGCGCAGCAGGCCGCACGCGCTCTGTGCAAGCTGGCACAGGCCTCGCCCTCCGCCGCCGCGGAGATCGTCGCGGCGGGCGGCGCGGCGGCGCTCGCTCGCGCCGCGGCGGGCGCATTCGACGAGGTGGCGCAGCACAACCTGCTAAGGCCGCGCCGCTCCTTCCACCACCACGCCGACTTGCTCTCGCGTGGCAACAAGGACGATGCGCAGTGCCGCGCCCTCTACGTGCTCGAGATGCGCGAGCTGC